GGGAACAAAATACCCACTTCTTGCCCTACGTGGCCCTCCCCACGCGACTGAGTAGTCATGATCTTGGTGGGGCCGCGCGCCCCCCAGCTTTGGGAACAGAGAGGCCACTTCCTGCCCTTTGTGCCCCCCCCCCCAAATGATGTTCATGGCGGGGGCAAACGGCCCAGTTCGTGCCCTATCCGGCCCTCCCCGTTCGTGCGCGTGATCATGGCGGCCTGCTTCACTGGAGGCGGTACCTGATTGGCTCCATGGTGTTCTTCACGACATGCACGGACATGCTTATGGCCGTCTGGTTTTCGGCCTCGCTTCTTCTGCCGGATGCAGTTTTTTTCAGGGCCGACATAAATTGAAATGACGATTTTGTCAAGTCATCCTTGACTTTTCTTTCCCCCTTTCTCATTGTGGAGTGTGTGTCCGGTCATGTTCGCCAACACATAACCGCACAACGGACGCACGATTCTGCCAGACTTCCCGTAAACTTTTCACTCCTACACCGCGGCGTGATCTGAGTCGCTAGGCACAGAAGCTGCTTGGCCTTTTCTCTGTTTGTTTCGTCCCTTTTTTTTTTCTTTTCAATGTATTTATTTTTTTCCCCCGGCCCTTCCCCTTATCCCTTTGTGTGTGGAAGGGACGAAGATTGGACGAACTTTTGAGGTGTCGAATTTTGTGGGGGCAGCAGATACCGCGCACTGCCACTCGGGCGTAGGAACGGCCCCGAGAAAAGGGGGTCTTTCAGGATCGAAGGTCCAAAGGCGTCTTATTAAGAGCGGAAAGGGATGAGGTCCCGAGGGGGACATCGCCATTGGGGTCTGTTCAGTCAGCTTGCTGGAAAGGGACTTGTGCAGGTCCCTCGGCGGATGGCTCAGTGAGCACCCTCTGGATGTGCCAAATAGTTGGTGTTTGGCGGTTCGGAGTCCCGTTTGCACTCTTATAGGGGMCTGCGTGCTTAGCAGCCCCCTTGCAGTCGACGAAGGCGACGTTTCGGACGTGGGTTTTGGGACCTTGTACTCGAGTTACGRGGGACTCTCTGCACACGCTTTGGGTGGTTTCCTGTTTGCGAGGAACGGACGATTCGTGCTTTGGTAGTCAAGCGAACATTTTTGCCGCGCCGTTCGGGTCCATGGTCGTCTCTCTCGGAGGGCTTATTTCACGACAGCTCGGTCGTCGTTGGCGACGGTCGCGGCTGTCGGGGCTTTCCTATGCCGTGGTGCTGGGTTGTGGATCGTTGCGTCCACCCTCGCTCATCGTCTTGCGATGATTGGCGCCTGATCGCCTACGGCGGTCCGGTTGGCGGTYGTTTGCAGGGTGTGGAGGCGGAGGTGCCCGTCACCGGCTCTCAGCTTCGGCACCATCATCCCGTAGGTTACGGGGAGAGATGTTGCGGCTCTGTTGTGGTGTCGTCTTCGTGTCCGCACTCACAACGGCGCGTTCCGTCTGTGTTGAGGGGGTGTCATGACTTGTTGAGAACGCTCTGCGCTCTTCGCCACCCGAACGGCGCCATTGAGCGGTGGCGCAGGTGGCCTCGGCCATGCACGCGCTGCTTACCGTATGCGAGGGCGGAGACTTGTGGGATGCGTGATGAACCCTCCGATGGCGTCACGAGGCTCGGCCCATCATCCGCCCGACTTTTTGGAATGCRCGCTTGTGCCCATCGTGTCCCCCATCCTGTGGTCTCGGTATGCTGCACACCGTGACGGATCGCGTTGCGTCGTGGTTCCGCTGCGTTTAGGTTGTGGGCTTCGAAGGCTACTGTCCTCTGTCTCCTGGGTTTCGCCTGCGTCGAGTGCTGTTGGTGGTGCCCGCAGCAACCGGCGGATGTGGACCCAGGGGGGAGAGGGGTTGTGTTCATTTTGCGCCTCGTGCACAGGTGGAGGCTTTCCGTCTGTCCGGGTGTGTTGGAAGCGTGGTGCATTCGTTTCTCTCTTCACCCGCGTTTCTTGATGGAGAGATGAGGCTGTGCACTTCGCTGTCGGTATGTTTTGGACGGGTGGTGGCATCCGGCTGTGGGCGAAAGCTTTCGATGGTTCCTTCGCGCGCGGCGTTGTTCGGGTAGTGTGGTTAACTTGCGATCTCTGGGTGTGGTGTGGGCGGGTGCTGTTCGCAGCCAATCTCTTGGGCGGGTGCGGCGGGCTGTGTTGGATTGTGCGGTACCTAGCCATTGGAGATGGGCTACGGAGGGAAGTTCACCTGCAATTTAAACAGCCGGACTTCGTGGCGTCTCGGCAGCTCATTGCACGTTCCACGATTGTTCGACGTTCTTTTGGTAGGCTGTCCGGTGTGACTTGCGTACGTGCGCCCCGGCCATCGCTCCTTGCGGCTGCTCGTCACACCCGCTACCTGGTTGATCTTGCCAGTAGTCATATGCTTGTCTCAAAAACTAAGCATGTCTAAGTGTGAACACTTTGCACTGCAGTGATTAGAATGGGAAGATGGGCCAAGCGTACTCATTTGGGGATATTCGGCAAAGCTATTGTGCTGAATAACTCTGTAATGTCTACACTTTGATATGCAGGGGCCATATCCATATGCCCGAACGGAGAGTGTTTGACCGACTGCAGGCGGCCATACGGAGATACTTATGGGCATACGATCCGGAAGCGAGGGACTCCATTCCGAGGGTGGCCTGGAGGAAGCTGACGCAGCCCAGGGGACAGGGCGGACTGGGCCTCCTAGACCCGGACCTGCAAGTGCAAGCCTTGCAAATGCGCAATTTGCTGTGGGTCATGCTGGGAGTAGCAAGTCACATCTGGGAGCAGCTAACCCTGCAGCACATAGCGTACGCCGCAGGTACCATCTAGGAGATCGTCGCCCTGGCCCTAGCATGCCCTGCAATGATTCAGCATGTCAAAAGAAGCCAGGTATGGACGGAGGCACTTACCAAGTGGCGGAAAATGAGTCCAGAACAGACTCCCCCAGCGACGGCGGATGAGGTGTTCAATCAGATCCTCTTTGACAATCCGTATATATGCTCCCTGGAAGGTGACCGGTTCCCTTGGGGGGGGGGGGGGGGGGGGGGGGGGCGCTCATGGGAAGCAATGGGCGGAATGTGGGGTTTTCAAGATTGGCCACCTCTGGGACGAACGCATCGGCGACTGGGATACTGATGAAACGATGGCTTCTCGACTACCCTAACAGCCTCATAGGAGGGAAAGATTGATGAAGTTAAAGGAGGCGATCCCGACACAGTGGACGGATATCCTTACGGAGAACCGTCTACGTGAAGGGGAGTGGGTGCGGAAGAAAGGGGAGCCTTGGCCGCGGCAGCTATACCGTGTGGTGAGAGTGCAGGATAATGCGCTGGGAGTGATGGAATGGGAGCTGACGGATGGATGGGAAGGATTGGGAAGTCCGCTGCGCCCTTCCACTAAGGGTGTACAGACGCTGCAGGTTGGAGAGGTGGAAACAGTGGCTGTTTGTGACAACGAGACATTGGGCAGACCGAACGGGGAGTACCGTCCCTTTAAGGTGGGGACCCCAAGGCCGCAGCTGGTAATTGATCCGAAGAACTAAAGCTGGACCCGACAGAATCACAACAGCCGGAAGATACCCCTCCATCAGGTTACTACGAAGGTGATATACAGATCGCTGCTCCAGACTGTGGATATGAGGGACGAACTCACAGGTCGGTGGAGCAAACGGGGATGGCTGCCGGATGTGATGCTGCAGAGATGGAAGGCAGGAGCATGGAAAGAGGAAAACGCTCTGCTTAAAGCGCTTCCCGATCCATAGCAAGCGGGTCTGCTGCGGTATATCTATCATCCGGCAGTTCCGACAACACAATGGCAAGCAGACAAGAGTCAATATGTGAACCCCCGCTGCTCTGCTGATTGTGGCAAGGAGGAATCCATTCCTCACCTTTTTGTGGAATGCCCCATACTGCAACAGTTTTGGGGCTGGTGGGCCGACGAGATGGCGGCGGTAACCCCTCTGCAGGTGACTGAGGATGACGGGGCGACCATTCTCCTGGGAGCCCTGATGATGAGAGACAGGAGAGACAAAGCTGCCCTGCACGCACAAGAGGTAGTCCGGGTGGCAATCCTGTCGGTCATCTGGACAGCACGAAATGGACGTGTGAGGGAAGGAAAACCAATCACAGTAGCAGACCTCAAGAATGGCACCAAGGAAAGCCTCCGAATCACCATGATGGCAGAGATTGGCCGCTGTCACCGTTCACCGACCAGGGGATGGGAGAGATTTTGGTATATCTGGGGGAAATACCTGGCCCTGGTACGTCAAGACGGTGATGAGACAAAGTCGAAATTTGGCACATTCCTTGGATGAGGACACCAACGTGCGGAATTCTGGAATTTTTCGAACTCTTCGAACTACTAGGTGTACATTAGGGTCTTTGTAATACTCATTGGCTACCTAAGGTTGGCATTAGAGCAGTGTAGTGTACATTATTGATAGGAAGGGGGAGGGGGAAGTTAGCGAATGGCGAGTTCTTAAATAATTTTTGACTCACTTTTATCGGGTAAAGCGAATGATTAGAGGCCTCGGGGGTGAAACACCCTCGACCTATTCTCAAACTTTAAATAGGTAAGATTTTGGGGTTGCTTAAGCGAACCCCGAGGATCAATGAAAGCTCCAAGTGGGCCATTTTCGGGAAGCAGAACTAGCGATGCGGGATGAACCAAAAGTCGAGCTACGGTGCCAAACTGTGCGCTAACCCACACACCACAAAGGGTGTTGATTGATACAGACAGCAGGACGGTGGTCATGGAAGTCGAAATCCGCTAAGGAGTGTGTAACAACTCACCTGCCGAATCAATCAGCCCCGAAAATGGATGGCGCTGAAGCGCGCGACCTATGCTCGGCCGTCGCGGCGATTCTGACGCCGCGACGAGTAGGAAGGCGCGGGGACTGCTGCGAAGCCTGGAGCGTGAGCCTAGGTGAAGCGGGTCCCGGTGAAGATCTTGGTGGTAGTAGCAAATATTCAAATRAGAACTTTGAAGACCGAAGTGGAGAAGGGTTCCATGTGAACAGCGCTTGGCCATGGGTCAGTCGGCCGTAAGAGATGTGGAAACCTTGTATCAAGGGCGCACTGCGCGCTGCACATCGAAAGGGGGTCGGTAATGTAAGCAGCTCCGGAGATGCCGGGTTGTGGAGGTGGACGGTAACGTAAGCAGCTCCGGAGATGCCGACGGGGGCCGTGGGGAGGGTTCTCTTTCCTTCTTGACGGCTCGCCCACCCTGGAATCGGATCAACCGGAGATAGGGTGCAGCGCCCGGCAAAGCACTGCGCGTCCTGTGGTGGCGAGCGCGCCCCAGACGGCCCTTGAAAATCTGGAGCTGCGGGTACCTCTCACGCCCGGCCGTACTCATAACCGCATCAGGTCTCCTARGTGAGCAGCCTCTGGTCAAAGGAAGAATGTAGGTAAGGGAAGTCGGCAATATGGMTCCGTAACCTTGGGAAAAGGATTGGCTCTGAGGGCTGGGCCTAGGGGTCTGCGCCTCAATGTCATTGGCTGCCGGTGGTCTGCCCGAGCTGCTCTTGCGGTGAGGGCGGAGCCCGCGTGCCAGTGTGCCGACGGGGGTAGAATATCTTATGTCCCCACCTTTTGGGTGGGGCCGTGGGACTCTCCCTACATATCAAACTGCCGACTCAGAACTGGTGCGGACAAGGGGAATCCGACTGTTTAATTAAAACAAAGCATTGCGATGGTCCCAACGGATGTTGACGCAATGTGATTTCTGCCCAGTGCTCTGAATGTCAAAGTGAAGAGATTCAACCAAGCGCGGGTAAACGGCGGGAGTAACTATGACTCTCTTAAGGTAACCAAATGCCTCGTTATCTAATTAGTGACGCGCATGAATGGAGTAACGAGATTCCCACTGTCCCTATCTACCATCCTGCGAAACCACAGCCAAGGGAACGGGCTTGGAAGAATCAGCGGGGAAAGAAGACCCTGTTGAGCTTGACTCTAGTTCGACTCTGTGAAACGACTTGAGAGGTGTAGAATAAGTGGGAGCCTTACGGCGCAAGTGAAATACCACTACTTTTAACGTTATTTTACTTATTTCGTGAGGTGGAGCTGGGGCTCTGCCCCTGCTTCTCGATCCAAGGTGCAGGTCCTCGTGGCCTGTCCGATCCAAGCGAAAGACRTTGTCAGGTGGGGAGTTTGGCTGGGGCGGCACATCTGTTAGAAGATAACGCAGGTGTCCTAAGATGAGCAAAACGAGAACAGAAATCTAGTGTGGAGCAAAAGGGCAAAAGCTTATTTGATTTTGATTTTGAGTACGAATACAAACTGTGAGAGCATGGCCTATCGATCCTTTAGCGTTTCAGGACTTGGAGCTAGAGGTGTCAGAAAAGTTACCACCAGGATAACTCGCTTGTGGCAGCCAAGCGTTCATAGCGACGTTGCTTTTTGATCCTTCGATGTCCGCTCTTCCTATCATTGTGAAGCAGAATTCACCAAGTGTTGGATTGTTCACCCACCAACAGGGAACGTGAGCTGGGTTTAGACCGTCGTGAGACAGGTTAGTTTTACCCTACTGATGCACCACTGTCGCAATGGTAATCCAACCCAGTACGAGAGGAACCGTTGGTTCGCACAATTGGCAATTGTGCTTGGGTGAAAAGCTAGCGGTGCAAAGCTACCGTGCGTGGGATTATGACTGAACGCCTCTAAGTCAGAATCTGTGCTTGCAGCGAYGGCGTATGCCTCCTCGGATGACACAAGGCTGTCGATAGGGCCAGCCCGTCTGGGCCCGAAAGCATAAGGTCGGAGTTGTCCATCCTGCGGCGGAGCACCGGCGCCCTGGTGGTCCCTTCATCGCAATTTCTTTCGCTCGGGGAGTCGAACCCTTTGCAGACGACTTAGACAGGGAACGGGGTGTTGTAAGCAGTAGAGTGGCCTTGTCGTCACGATCTGTTGAGATTCGGCCCTTTGTTCCAAAGGTTTCCCCCACCTTCTGGCTCCCCACCCCTCCTCAAATGTTTGAACGATGGTCATTCGCGTCTGAAGAGAGTCGTCGCCCTTGTATAGGGGCCGATGAGCTGCTAGCTTCTTTTTTTTTTTTCTTTTTTTTTCCTTTTTTTTTTCCAGTTTTGCTGCTTCCGTCTGAAGCCCCATTTGCCCGATGTGGTACTCGACTTTCGGCTCAAAGGACAACTGTGCCCGAGCCCATGTTGGGGTGGGTGCCACGTCGTTAGCTTTTGGCCACTGCGGCGCGCCATCTGTCCGAAAACATGGATATGTGTCCGCGTGTCTTCCTCTACTTGACCCGGTGAGCATTTGTGCATGCCACATTGTCCGATGTCGCTCCATACGGCCTGCCACTTTGGGCTGCATGGAGACCTGAGACCAAAGGTTAGATCGACGTGAGTGCCTCATTGTACACTTCTCACGATGTGGCGGGCGACCTTTGTTTCAGTAAAAAAAAATAAAAAGTTATTATTCAAGTATTCAAACAAAATGCAAATGTGTACTATGTACATACGTCTATAATATTATGTATATGATTTTTTTTATTTTTTATTTTTTTTTCCCTTTTGGATTCACCTTTCTTTCAAGATGAAAACAAAATTCTGAATCTTCTCATTCTGTAGATAAAAGTTTGCTCAAGCAAGTATTCAATCAATTTAACGGAAGATTTTTACTAGAGGGGCAGAGACGGAGGGCGTCTGGCCCCCCCTGCGTACAAGCGTAATCGTGGTGGGGGGTGCGTGAAGCATGCCCCTGGTGTTTCGGACCTGGAAAGCCAATTCTTACCCTATCTGGCCCTCCCCATGTGTGTGCGTAATATTATGGCTTGCGAACAAAATACCCACTTCTTGCCCTACGTGGCCCTCCCCACGCGACTGCGTAGTCATGATCTTGGTGGGGCCGCGCGCCCCCCAGCTTTGGGATTAGAGAGGCCACTTCCTTCCTTTTGTGCTGCCCCCCCCAAATGATGTTCATGGCGGAGGCAAACGGCCCACTTTCTGCCCTATCCGGCCCTCCCCGCTCGTGCGCGTGATCATGGCGGCCTGCTTCACTGGAGACGGTACCTGATTGGCTCCATGGTGTTCTCCGGGACATGCACGAAAATGCTTATGGCCGTCGGGTTTTCGTTCTCGCTTCTTCTGCCATATGCAGCTTTTTTCGGGGCCGACACAAATTGAAATGATGATTTTGTCAAGTCATCCTTGACTTTTCTTTCCCCCTTTCTCATTGTGGAGTGTGTGTCCGGTCATGTTCGCCAACACATAACCCCACAACGGACGCACGATTCTGCCAGACTTCCCGTAAACTTTTCACTCCTACACCGCGGCGTGATCTGAGTCGCTAGGCACAGAAGCTGCTTGGCCTTTTCTCTGTTTGTTTCGTCCCTTTTTCTTTTTTTTTTCAATGTATTTATCCCCGGCCCTTCCCCTTATCCCTTTGTGTGTGGAAGGGACGGAGATGGGACGGACTTTTGAGGTGTCGAATTTTGTAGGGGCAGCAGATACCGCGCACTGCCACTCGGGCGTAGGAACGGCCCCGAGAAAAGGGAGTCTTTCAGGATCAAAGGTCCAAAGGCGTCTTATTAAGAGCGGAAAGGGATGAGGTCCTGAGGGGGACATCGCCATTGGGGTCTGTTCAGTCAACTTGCTGGGAAGGGACTTGTGCAGGTCCCTCGGCGGATGGCTCAGTGAGCACCCTCCGGATGTGCCAAACAGTCGGTGGTTTGCGGTTCGGAGTCCCGTTTGCACTCTTATCGGGCCTGCGTGCTTAGCAGCCCCCTTGCAGTCGACGAAGGCGACGTTTCGGACGTGGGTTTTGGAACCTTGTACTCGAGTTACGAGGGACTCTCTCCACACGCTTTGGGTGGTTTCCAGTTTCCGAGGGACGGGCGAGTCGTGCTTTGGTGGTCGAGCGAACATTTTTGGGGCGTCGTTCGGGTCCATGGTCGTCTCTCTCGGAGGGCTTATTTCACAACAGCTCGGTCGTCGTTGGCGGCGGTCGCGGCTGTTGGGGCTTTCCTATGCCGTGGTGCTGGGTTGTGGATCGTTGCGTTCACCCTCGCTCATCGTCTTGCGATGATTGGCGCCTGATCGTCGACGGCGGTCCGGTTGGCGGTCGTTTGCAGGGTGTGGAGGCAGAGGTGCCCGTCAACGGCTCTCCGCTTCGGCACCATCATCCTGTAGGTTACGGGGAGAGCTGTTGCGGCTCTGTTGTGGTGTCGTCTTCGTGTCCGCACTCACAACGGCACGTTCCGTTTGTGTTGAGGGGGTGTCACGACTTGGTGAGGACACTCTGCGCTCCTGGCCATCTGAGCAGTGCCATTGAGTGGTGGCGCAGGTGGCCTCGACCATGCACGCGCTGCTTACCGTATGCGACGGCGGAGACTTGTGGGATGCGTGATACACCCTCCGACGGCGTCGCGAGGCTGGGCCCGTCATCCGCCCGACTTTTTGGAATGCGCGCTTGTGCCCGTCGTATCCCCCATCCTGTGGTCTCGGTATGCTGCCCACCGTGACGGATCGCGTCGCGTCGTGGTTCCGCTGCGTTTAGGTTGTAGGCTTCGAAGGCTACTGTCCTCTGTCTCCTGGGTTTCGCCTGCGTCAAGTGCTGTTGGTGGTGCTCGCGCCAACCGGCACCGTGCACAGGTGGAGGCTTTCCGTCCATCCGGGCATTTGGAAGCGTGGTGCATTCGTTTCTCTCTTCACCCGCGTTTCTTGATGGAGAGACGAGGCTGTGCACTTCGCTGTCGGTACGTTTTGGGCAGGCGGTGGCATCCGGCTGTGGGCCGAAGCTGTCGGTGGTTCCTTCGCGCGCGCTGTTGTTCGGGTAGTGTCGTTAACTTGCGATCTCTGCGTGTGGTGTGCGCCGGTGCTGTTCGCAGCCAATCTCTTGGGCGCGTGTGGCGGGCTGTGTTGAATTGTGCGGTACCTTGCTGTTGGAGATGGCCTACGGAGGGAAGTTCACCTGCAATTCAAACAGCCGGACTTCGCGGTGTCTCGACAGCTCATTGCACGTTTCACGATTGTTCGACGTTCTTTTGGTAGGCTGTCCGGCGTGACGTGCCTACGTGCGCCTCGGCCATCGCTCCTTGCGGCTGCTCGTCACACCCGCTACCTGGTTGATCCTGCCAGTAGTCATATGCTTGTCTCAAAGACTAAGCCATGCACTTCTAAGTGTGAACACTTTGCACTGTGAAACTGCGAATGGCTAATTAAATTAGTTATCATTTATTTGGTGGTCTCCTTACCACTCGGATAACCGTGGTAATACTAGATCTAAAATGTGCAGCATATCCCGACTTCTGGAAGGGATGTCTTTATTGGATAAAAGGCCGATCCGGGCTTGCCCGTTGTTGCTGCGAATCATGGTGACTTGTCGAATCGCATGGCCTTTGAGCCAGTGATGTTCCATTCAAATTTCTGCCCTATCAACTTTCGATGGTAGGATAGAGGCCTACCATGGTGGTAACGGGTGACGGAGAATTAGGGTTCGATTCCGGAGAGGGAGCCTGAGAGATGGCTACCACATCAAAGGAAGGCAGCAGGCGCGTAAAT